TGATATCCTTCTATGATTAAGGTCACCTGCCTGGTGGATGAAGGGAAGGCAGTGGAGTTTAGTAAGGCTTTTGATGCTGTCCCTCACAGCATCCTTCTGGACAAGTTGTCCAGCTGTGGGATGAGCGGGTTCCCAGTGTGCTGTGTGAAGAACTGGCTGAAGGGCAGAGATCAAAGGGTTGCAGTGAATGGGGCTACAGCTGCCTGGCAACTGGTCACCAGCAGTGTTCCACAGGGCTCAATCCTAGGGCCAGTGCTGTTCAATATATTTATCAACGATCTGGATGCAGGAATCAAATGCACCATGAGCAAGTTTGCTGATGATACCAAACTGGGAGGTGCTGTTGACTCTCTTGGGGGACAGGAGGCCCTGCAGAGGGATCTAGATAGATTGGAGCATTGGGCCATGATTAATGGGATGTAATGTAACAAGTCCAAATGCCGGATTCTGCACCTAGGATGGAGTAACGCCAGGCACAAGTATAAATTGGGAGAGGAGTGTCTGGAGAGAGCCCTGGCAGCCACGGGGGCAAACCCCATCCTGGGGTGCATCCAACACAGCATCACTAGCCGGTCAGAGGTGATTATCCCGCTGTGTTCAGTGTTGGTGCAGCCCCACCGTGAGTACTGTGTGCAGTTCTGGGCCCCACAATTTAAGAAGGATGTGAAGGTCCAGAGGAGAGCAACAAAGCTGGTGCAAGGGAAGGCATGTCCTGTGAGGAGCAGCTAAGGACTTTGGGTTTGTCCAGTTTGGAGGAAAGGAGGCTGAGGGGTGACCTCATTGCTCTCTACAGCTCCCTGAGGAGGGGATGTGAGGAGGGAGGTGCTGAGCTCTTCTCCCTGGGATTCAGTGACAGGACGTGTGGGAATGGTTCAAAGCTGCATCAGGGGAGGTTCAGACTGGACCTTAGGAAGCATTTCTTTACTGAGAGAGTGGTCAAACACTGGAATAGGTTCCCTAGAGAGGTGGTCGATGCCCCAAGCCTGACAGTGTTTGAGAGGCATTTGGACGATGCCCTTACAAACATGCTTTAACTTTTGGTCAGCCCTGAGGTGGTCAGGCAGTTGGACTGGATGATCGTTGTAGGTCCCTTCCAACTGAAATAGTCTATTCTATTCTATTCTATTCTATTCTATTCTAAATTCTTCTCGCCAGGCACTGTCTTTAAGTGAGTGTGATTTGCCCTTGCACTTGTAATTGCTGGGGTTTTTTGATGGTGTGGTTGTTCCTGGGACTTTTTTCCCATAAGGTTGTACCTGTCAGCCCTCCAGGTTGTTTAAAACTTGCTTTCCAGTAAAAAAAATACCTTGCATGTTTTGCTATTCTTTCATTCCCTTTCATATTCATTCCACTCTCTTTTATGATAGCAATCACTTAATTTTTCTTCTCAACACGATATAATGCCTTCTCAGCATGATGTAAAAACGTCCTATCAGGCTGACCCTAAGCAAACCCATCTGGCCTCTTTAGTATTCCACATTTTTACATACAGCCTAGAAATACACAAGCAGAATCCATATCACATGTTGCTGTAAGCCCCTCTTTGCATGAAGAAACAGCATTGCTAACTATGTGTAAAACATGCCTTGTTTAAAATAATTTTTTGCATAAGAGGATCACAGACCTTTGGAAGGGAAGCTGAAATCAAGCACGTCTTTAATTTCAAAAACTGAACTATGAAGGAATCCAGAAGTTCTCTGTTTTTGCAGAATAAAAAATAAAAAAATAAAATAGCTGAGTTTCACCTTTTGGAAAAAAAAGCAGAGAGCTGCCCATCTCTCTACATGCTGTTTAATGTCAGCTGTGATGTTTCACCAAGGGAGTCTTTGAGTTTTGACCAAGTGCTTTTGCTTTTCGGAAGGTGTAGATCTTCTGTGACAGTGAGCTCTCCCCTCCCTACTTCAAAGTCCTCTGCTGCTTTTGCCTCTTTTCCCCAAAAACCTTCAGAAGTGAAAATAATGGGTCAGAAAGCAGGGAATGCGTGTTTTCAAAGCAACATCCTATGCACCGTGCTTTTGCTACCGTTTTCTTTCAGGACTTTGAGAGAGTTTTATACCTATTTGTGAAATTACCCAGAAGTGTTTCAGAAAGTTAAGTAATTACCCTGGTTTACAGGTAGAAAGAGCAGAAATGGAGAGGAAAGAGCACTGGCAGCTGAAATCACACCCCAAATGGGTGGCAGAGCTGTCCGCAGAGCTGTGGCTCCGGGCCGTTCATTTATTGTGTGACTTTTAACTGAAGCTTTACCATATGGAGGCCGTCTTCTGGACGGATTTATTTCTTCCAGAAGATTTTTCTTCCATTCTTACCCTGGGTGCAGAGTTGCTAGCATTTAGAGATTTGTTGGTTGGTTGTTTTTAAAAGGATATAACTTGGGTATTTCTAGAAGCGTGTCAGTACTTCATTAAAGGTGAAGGGGAAACTGCTCCCTTCCTGGTAGTAACACCTTCCAGAAGACCAAATTAGCTTTCTCATCCTGCTCCTGAGTAGTAGTTACATGTAACTGAACAGTCTTGACAGGTACCAATGATCATTAAAAGAGGGGGGAAAAGACTTTAATTTTATTTTGTTCCCATGAATTTCTCTACCTTTAACATATCATTTGGCAATGAAAACCCAACAATTATCATAAAGTTATCACATGGGCTCTGGCACCCATTCCCTTGATCAAAAAATCCTCTTTATTTTTTTTCTTTTCCCACAAGCAAAGGTTTAACGTGACCAGATGTGTGAGTTCAGTTGTCCAGTTGCTGTGTTTCCCCTCCTCCTCCCATTCAAAATTCCTTGCCCGTTATTCTTTTCCTATGTGGGAATTTTTTGCATGCCCAAGTGCTTGCACACACGTGGCTTCTTTGAATTTCTCTGATTCAGTGCAGTCAAAACCATTGTCCTGGAATTTTATAGAAGTGTAGTTTGTATTTGTGGAGAACATAATGGATTGTTTGATGTCACATTCTTCGTTTGTGACTAATCAGATGATTTCAGTGGGTCTGGCACAAATAAGAGGAAAAAAAATGGTCTTTCCAACGGCTTTGCTTGATTGGGCTTGGAAACTAAATGTCACCATCACGAATGTCTCTTTCGTGAAGTGGTTCTTCATTCCCCGGCCAGCAGTTCACCCAAATGTTAAATCTCTATAGGGAAGTAGGAGAAGAGTTGATTCCTTTGTGGCAGTTGATATATTTTTGGTGACGTTAGTGGACCTGTCCGTATTTTGGTCGTATCTGCCCAGCTGGCCAGTCCAATCTCGGCATTGGTCTTACAGCAAAACCTTCCCTTTCGTCTCTCATTCCTCCCCAAACCCCAGTAATCGCAGGGGAGGAGAGAGAGGCAGAGCAGGCTCTACTCAAATTCTGTCTCTTTTGCCTGTAAGGCTCTAGCACGACTCTCTGTGGCAATTATTTGCTAGTAGCTGCTTCCTTCGTTATAAAACATGTTACTTATTTCTAGAAAATGTGAAATGCAGGTGTTCTTCACTCTCTTCATCATCGGAGTTTCTCTCTGGTTTAGTGTGAGACCCCCACCCCCCGCGTTGTACAGGGGCAAAGTAACGCTCTGCTCTGGAGAATATATTGATTTGTTAGAAGAGGTTTGCAGTGGAAGGAGGTGGGAGGGCAAAGTGGCTCTGTTTTTCCATTGCCTAAACTGAAAAAGAGGAACGAAGACCGTGCGGTTTTGTGTTGTAAGTGGTGGCAGTGTGTGCCTTCACAGTACCCCTCGGGGACTTTTTAAAAATGGATAAGCAGAAGTGATGTTAATGTTTTCTTAAAGTTTGGTCAGGTGCTCCCACCTGCTTTCCTGCATGGCTGAAATGAGCACCTCTGGTGCTGAGAAGGGGGCCGGGGACTTGTCTTCTCCTGAAGTGGAAAGAGCCCGTGTGGGAGCGTGCTGGGCACTGGCTCTGGAGAAGGACCCTTGCTGCTTTACGGCTGCTTCATGAGCAAATCTGAGTGCTTGTGCATTCCGCAAACCACGTGGCCGAGCTGGAGCTGTCTGTCAGCCGCCCGCCGCCATCCTGGGGAGATACCTGCGGCGCAGGTTGGACCGTGGACCTTGCCTGGGAATGAGCCAGCACCAGAGCCTTACCAGGGAGAGAAGAACTGACAGCTCGCGAGCACTGGGTTTATTTTTCTTTTTCCCTAGCTCCTCTGAAACGTTTGGGCAGAATACCATCTACACATCAGTTTTACCACTCTGACTTTGGAAACTGTTGTTTCAGTTTCTTTTTTTCTGAAGAGTAACTTTTTTTTCTTTGCGGGGGGGGGGAAGGGAAGTTAATCTGGGCAAATACTGAAAATATCATCCCCAGTGCATATTTTGAGGACATTAATCATCTTTAATTTGGTTTCAAAATTAACTTGGGCTGGTGAAATACAAATTACATTTACTTATGATAGTATCTGAGAGCTGGCTGTTGCCAAACACTCCCCGTGTATGAACAGGTAGATGTTGTTGTAGCAGACAAGGGAGTTGTTTGCCCTCTCTCCGTAATTGTTTCCTGATTGTCCAGGCCTATACTGGGTAAACAGAAAGTTGTTGGGGTTTCTTTAACTCTACCTGTGCTGTTGCTTCATCAGTCCTTAAAAGACCATCTGTTTCTTGTTGGACTTCTTATTAATTCCTTCCATTTTCTTAGCATTTGGAACTGGTTATAATTTGGGGAAGAGAATCTTTTAGTAGAAATCTTAGGAACATTTTCATTAATTAAGGGGTTTTTTTCAGGAAATGTCTCTAATACCTATCTCTAATCCTGCCAGCTGTTGGTCACCCAAACAATTTTTTTCAAGCTGCTACTGTAAGTGTAGTTTTGCGGGACTGGATCGACACATAAGTTTTCCATGGCAATCGCCCTTTCCTTGCTTCCATCTCAAAATTGCTCCAAAGATACTGGTAATGATTAAATGGATGTGGCTTTGCTGATACACTGAAAGAACAGAGAGCTCGGACCTCCTGGTGGTGGTGTATGGTGTTGAAATATCAAAGTGTTTCTTTCATAACAGATTGCAGAAGGGATGGCATACATAGAAAGAAAAAATTATATCCATCGAGATCTGAGAGCAGCGAACGTTCTGGTTTCAGACTTACTGATGTGCAAAATTGCTGATTTTGGACTAGCAAGAGTCATCGAAGACAACGAATATACAGCAAGGGAAGGTATGTGTTTTTATTTTTGTCTTTAAAACTTCAGCCTTTCGAGAGGCGCATAGTCAGTTCATCGTAGGGACAAGTTTCTACATATGCTCCCATGTGCAGATTGCACTAGGGTAACTTTTCGGAGCTGGGTGGCTTTGGTCCGCCCCCCCCCCCCCACTTTAAAGACACTACCTTGTATTTTCACACAGTCTGGATGGAAACTGCGGTAATGTAGGACGAGAGGGGAAGAACTATGGTATGAGGAAGAAAGAGAACAATGCACTGCAGCCGAGATTAAAGGCAGATGAGTTGTTCAGCAGTCGCTGGGTAACAGTAATTTGATAGATCAGAGGGAAGGGTCTGATTAAGCAGTTTTCAGAGGCACAGAACCCGTATCTGTGTCTATTTTGCTAGCTCTGGACGTTGTATATTGATTAAATGAACCTTTCAGGTTATAAATTCTTTATGCCGAATTTCTTTGATGTGTTTTCGGCCGTTCAGTAGTTTCCTGGCTTACCTGGTATTTTGTGCCAGAATGATAGAGCCAGCTAAAAAGGGTGTAGAGAGAATCCGCTGGTATTGCTCTCTGAAGAGCTAATGTAATATTCCCCAACAAAGGGTGCGTGAACTTTTATTATTTAACTGGAAGGAGTTTACTTTTATATGGGGTTTTCTGGGATCAGTTAATTAGACATGAAAGACAGTATTTTAAGGTATGACTTTTTAAGATATGACTTGCTGCTGCTTTTGCATCTGTGGCTGAATGTGAAGCGCGTGGAAGCGTGTGTTGAAGCTAGACTGACTGTCTTTAAAATAGGAAAAGTTAAAGTCTTGGTAAGTTCCAGGTGATGGGAATTGCAAGATTGTTGCCTGTCAACTGGGCAGAAGGGAAAATGGTGACTGTAATTTTAGCAAAAATTGACCCTACCTAAGAGTCCAAAGGTGCTATGTAACTTTGGGCATCTTATTTGCACCTCTGGCACAGGACATGCAGTGTGGCAACGTGCATCCTGGAGCGCATCACTGCTGGCAACTCTTGGACAGAAGGAGTTGCTGGTAACTTTGCTAATTTAGGGGTATCACAGGCAAGTTGCTTAAGACCTCTTAGTGGCCTGATATTGAGTGTTTAAATCTGCCTTTGACTGATTGAGTCTGTACTTTTTTGTAGGTGCAAAATTCCCTATTAAATGGACAGCACCAGAGGCAATTAACTATGGATCTTTCACTATTAAATCTGATGTGTGGTCATTTGGGATTCTCCTGTACGAAATCGTTACGTATGGAAAGATTCCTTATCCAGGTATGGGCGTGTGTTTATACCGTTACTCCATACTTTTGCTTTGTGATTGAGTCTGTACTTTTTTGTAGGTGCAAAATTCCCTATTAAATGGACAGCACCAGAGGCAATTAACTATGGATCTTTCACTATTAAATCTGATGTGTGGTCATTTGGGATTCTCCTGTACGAAATCGTTACGTATGGAAAGATTCCTTATCCAGGTATGGGCGTGTGTTTATACCGTTACTCCATACTTTTGCTTTGGTGTTAAAAAGCAAAGCAAATATGCAGGGAAAGA